GTACTTAAGTGTTGCAAATACAAGGAAGTTGTTCGTAATTCTAAGTAAGATATTCTTGATTTACCACATTCTGATGATAACAATACTAAATGATTATGAACGCGATATAATTGTTAACTCTGAATTATTTCGATACGATTTGTATCCTACGAAAATGGCGCGATACCAAATTCGTGATCATACATTACATGTTAAAGATGTATTGTCCTCTAAAAATGACAAAAAAAAAATATAAAAAAAATGTTTGAAATGAACTTGCTCATTTAAAGTAACATACAAATTATTAACTTAAGCTTTGAAATTTTTCGATTTAAAAAATAAGTTTACCTTGATTTTCATATTGAATAATAATAAATAAATAAAAACACTTCCAGTGACTAGAAGTGTTTCTACCACTTTCGCTAAAATAATTTTTTTTGGACAGATATTGGCGTGACGGGTGTCTGTTTTGTTGTTCTAGCTTACGCTGGTGACAATATTGTGACATTCATGATTTTTCTGACGATTGCCTTTGGTGCGCTTGGGTTCAGTGGAGCAAGTATTTTACCGAACCCAATGGACATATCAAAAACATATTCAGGAATAATTGTAGGAATGATGGTTACTACAGGTGGATGTGCTGGATTTATCGGCCCACTAATTCTTGCTCTAATAATAGAGAATGACGTAAGTGTAACAACCGTTTATATATTAATAATAATAATAATAATAATAATAATAATAATTATTATTATTATTATTATTATTATTATAGATTATCAATAATAACATAATAGACCTTTCTGGAGTGTCAATCAAACTTAACAACTGACCAATCAGAAAAGCGCCAGGATCGAATACGCGCGCGTCTCACAAACACATGTGTTGTTGGGGGTTGGGGGTAGGAGAGGGGCTGACCCCAGCACCTGCACTAACTATTGTAGCCTATTCCATCATTGTGTAAATAAAACTTTCTTTGTATAGGCTATGATATGTTTTCCTGAATCTTAAATCCAAAATATCCGCCCTTTTAGGGAAAAATAATTAGTGAAATGATTGCAACTGAAGGACTGGAGTCTCAACCAAACTACATAGTTGCAAGATATTCGGAATCTTTCATTTTATTTTTGGTTTGCTTTCAGAATACATTTGAACGATGGTCTTCGATGTTCATGATAACTGCTGCAGTTGAATTCTCTGGGATGGTGTTCTTTCTAATATTTGCTAAAGGACAGAAACAAGAGTGGTCAGAAATTGACACAAGACAAAATGAAGAGATGAGAGCCCTAGTTAATAAATAAGTGATGATGATAATTTTACATGTTGAGCTAGAGTTACTATCCTTTATTATTTCAAAATTGAGTTGGTGTGTAAAATTAATAATAGTAAGGCATTGCAGTCTAGTTCACGGGAATATTACGCCATGATAATTCATAATTAATAATTCATATTTTTATTAATTTTAACTGCTTCACAATGAATGGAATCTTACAATGAGGTAATGTGTAAATATTAAAAAACAACAAGATGATTAATTAAGTGACGTTGTGCATCGTGACGTGTTAGGTTTGTCATATTATTTCGTTAAAATGTATAGTCCACCATTGTGTGTTCTTTAGAAATTGGTAACAATGTGATGTTGAAAATAGAGACAAATGGGGGTTCATTAAATGACGTGGTATTTATTTCTGGCCTAGACTTTTAGTCCAACAAATGAATCTTCTCGACCATTAAAATAATGAGGGTATTAAAATTGAAAAAAATGAGGGTATTCAATGCATAGTTACCAACCTGAGAGATTTGAAATGTGTGAGTGACTACACCAGTGGGCTGGGGAAGGGGATAGGGTCCAGGGGTGGCCCGCGGCGCTCCGACGATCTGAGCAAGGGCACATCTTGCACAGATGGACAGTGAAGACCACCACAGCCCCACCATGGTTGGGGTGAGTAAGAAAATTTATGATTATGGCATCTCTAGTTGGTCGGAAATGGCACTCTCTGACTGAATTTGAATATAATTCACATTTTTCTCCACTTTAAAATTTAGGGGGAAAATAGGGATGGTGGGCCGGCTGGGCCCCTTGAATCTGCCACTAAAATACTCATCATAACAAGTTCTTAAAATTATTCTTTTAGTCAAAATTATGCCTGCTTATATATTTCGTGCCAACTAACATTCATACAAATAATGATTTCTTATCTACTGATAGGCTGTAACGTATTCAAAATTCGAACCATCAAAAACAAATAAGATAAACTTATTATCAGGCATTAATTTAGTCTTTTTGCATGTACAGTAATTTTAAAATCAATCAAGAGGTTTTTGCTTTTCTCCTCTTTTTGAATTTCACTTTTGTGTAAGTAATATTGCAAATACACTATTGTGAGTGGAAATTATACCGTCTAATTTACGGTCAAACAGGAAATGGAGATAGGAAGCACACAAAACATTAGTTAGCATTTTGATTTCACAAACATAAAGGTGATTTACTCAATTTATCATCATCTGTGGCGGCTCCAGGAAAGCAAATTTATGGGGGGACAGGGAGGGACTTGCACAATATGGGAAAATAGAGATCACCTCAGCCCCGTGGGGCTGAGGAAAGAAAATTTATGATTATGACACCTCTAGATTGCGGGAAATGGAACTCCCAGACCTAAATTCTAATTATAATTTTCCTTTGTTTTTTTCCATTTAAAAAAAATAATTTTGAAAAATTTAGGGTCGTCTCGGCTCACTTAAATCCGCCACTGATTATTATGACGTCATTTCGAGGTTGCGTCAGCGTAAAACTGGAGTTTGTTAACTTTTGGTATCACTTCATTGAAATAGATAAACATATCCGTGTCAAAAGCTGTATAATTATTGTTTAATAATGGCTATATAAAATTCAATTGACTAACTATAATTTTTTGAAATTAGGTAAAACAGTAATCCTATGTATGTAAATAATATTAAACACTATACGGGTCATAATGATATACAAAGGAATAAATATTTTGTAGTAGAAATTATGCACTTTTGAGTTTGTAAAAATATTGGCCTAATAAGTATACACGCTTCCAATTTTAACAACGTTCAGTACATTGTTTTCACAATAAATTTAGCCTCTGATAACCTTTGCACCCATAAATCGATCTAGTGATTTCTGGTTATAACTTTTATACTAATTTTTTTTTTTTTTTTTGCATCGGGAAGACGAATTTTACTTGTATTTTATGTACCGAGTAAAAAAAAAAAAAATTTTAATATTTTTTTTTTAAATTTAAAAAAACTCCTTTTTTCCAAAAAAAAAAAAAAAAAAAAAAAAAAAAAAAAAAAATTGTGAAGAAATTCTCTTTAGAAGATGCCATTATTTACAAAAGGTGATTTTTCTCAATATATATATATATATTTTTAAAGTATGCCTTAGAAACCTATCTGTAACTTCTTGGATGCGGTATTGCCAGAAAAAACAGCATTTTTCTGAATGGATAACACTAGAAATCAATGTAAATTTGTTTTAAAATAATGTTAGTCTAACAACATGTTAAGAAATGTGTTGCCAGGCTCATTTCAAGTTAGTTAAAATTTAATTTTGTACTGTATTGCAAGAAAACAGCATTTGTTTTTATTGAAAATTAAGGTAAATATACATCTTTTTACTGAACAATAACGCTATAAAATATAATATAAGTCATTAACCAAAACAAATATAATTACCTGACTAGTTTAACAACATGCTAAGGAATGTGTTGAAGGTTTATCAATATGCGTTACTGTTGATAGAAAAAGCAGCATTTTTTCATTTAAAAATATTTTAAAAAACATTTTTTTACTGTACGGAATACGCTATATTATAAGATATAATTCATGTAACCATAATATTACTATATACATGACTATTAAAACAACATGTGTTGCCAGGTTTATTTTAAGTATGTTAAACTCAATATTATACCGCATTGCATGTAAATCAAACCACTTTATTCAGCTTTCTGAAAAACCAAACAAATTCAAACACCATTATGACAAAAGCAATCCATGATAAATTCGCTTTCAACGACAAGTTATGATTTTCAATTTCGGAAGACTCAATTTAATTGTTGAATTCAACATGAAAAGTTAATTGTGCCATATACAATTTGGATGTTAAAGTTCAACTGTTTCGTGGGCAAGCGTGTGGAGGTTGTCTATTGCGATTCCTCTTCGAAAGCTTAAAGAACATCTTCATATGACTTAGTAGCCTACAGTATACTATTGTGTCTTGACATTTCTCTAGAAAATAGCTTTACATCTTTTGCTCAGATATTCTAATGGCATAGATAACTAACTCAATCGTCGCCCTTAGCTATTCTCATGTCTTTCTCAACCTCTGACACGTACTATTTGGAATTTCTTTTGAACATATTCTTTTTGTTGTTTCTGAAAATCATGTGTATTTTTATGTTTTCTTTAAATGTGAAGGTGCGTATTTAATAAGTGTTGAATATCTTTTCCGTAACTTCTATCAGATTACTCTTCATATTCTTCATATCTACACCTATTTTGCTCAATATGATAATACATTGTACAACACAAGATTTAAATATTTCACTGTATTCACTTTTTGTCCAATTGTTCAGTCTTATGATCACATTCTTAAACATCTATTTCGCTTAAGAATACAACAATTAGCCTTCTTACCGCCTCCTTGTAAAGCTGAATGTTTCAAATCTTCATTTCTTCCATATTCTCTACAGGTGATTAAATCCATCTTCGGGACAGAAAAACAAATGATTATTAACGTATCCTTCATTTCTAAGTTTTCCTTGTGTACAGACTGGTAGATGTTGACAAAAAGATTGATCAGACACCTTCGCCACCCGATTCTGCAATTAGTTAGTACATAAGTAATTGTTAACTTGTGAGAAGTAATGCAATTGACTATCTGTTAACGTTCGCCTTTGATGATTAATTATCTCTGTTAGCAAGTAACCACTTCCTAACCTTCTCTCTAGTACTAACGGATAGGCATACCGAGAGGGCGTAACCCCGGCTAC